TATTTGTAACTTTTTCATCAAATGAAAATATTTGTAAGTTTAATAAAATTCTTAAAACTTTTAAATTAGCATATATTTTAAATATTATCTCATAATTAAAACTTTAATAAAATTCATAAATAAATCTTCGAAAATATTTTATTTATTAAATTTTCTGTTAATATAACTAACCTTCTTTGGAATCAAAAATTAATTCTCATATCTAGAATTTTAATATAATTCCAAAACAAACCATTCTAAATATTAAAGTTTATAAAACAGAAAATGAAGATTCTATAAGATATTCGGTATTCGTCGATATCTTCATATTAGAAATATTGATCAAATCCAAAATTTGTTTAAGATCAATTCCCAATCTAAAAAAAAGTTAATGGACATATATATTTATAATTAATATAAATACAAAATTTACTTTAATATAATATTACAAATATTCACAATAATATTCAGCCTAAAGATACTCAAATCTATATATATTTTTCATACCCATTACACAAACAAAGACGACTACATAAAATTTTTGATCACAAAAAAAAAAACATTCCTCTTTTTTTGTTTAACAATATCAATCCGGCGTGTGACATCTAAGATATCAAAATTCAAATTTTAGATGTATGAAAATATATCATAACGTTATTTACTATTCATGAATGTAATTTTTTGAGCTAAATTTCTTTTTGGATGTTGCTTTCAGGGTACAAAAATACATGCAACAGTCAAAGAGGATGAAATACAAAAATATCAAAATGATTTGAAAGAAGGTGTATTTTTTTGTTTTTTTTTTCTAAATTAAGAAGGTGTATCTTTAACAATCAATGCTTTCCAATGTAAGAATAACATGGGTGATTATCGAACCACTCTCATCCTATACAAGATACAATTTATACGAATCACTATAATCAAAATCATTGATGATTTTTATAAGATATTCAGAAAACCATTTTCTGATTTTTCATAGATTTTATATAGAAATATCGATAAAGAAATCTTGATTTTTGAAAAAATATTAATCCGCGTATACGCGAGGAGACACCTAGTTATATATATAAGGGCAGCATAATTTCATAAAATCTTATTTAGTATAGTGTCAGCAAACATAAATTCTAAATTGATTCAGTTGACTTTTTTAGCCATGATTTTTTTTCTTATGTTTAACTATTTTAATCATAGATATTAAATCGATCTTGAAGTTTATAAAAAAAATTAGATTGGATAGTATTTTATTTTTGTTTGAATGAAATAAACAAACATAAAAATTGTTCGAATATTATGATTTTTTATCTTTGATGTAATTAAAATGTTTAAGTAAGTTTTTAATATGATCTTATCGTATGTTTGAATTTTCATG